CTTATAACGATATTTAACAATCTTTATCGACAATAATTCTCTTTAAACAATGAAACAACTTATATGGCAAACATTGGAGACAATTATATTAATAAATTTTTACTTAATTATTTAATTTTTAGGGTTTTTTTTTTAAGACCCAAAGCATGTTTGAGGGTGTAAGATTACATACGCATTCACTTTTACTATTGTAATTTGTGGAACGTTTTATTCGATCCAAGAAGTATCCCTTTACTCCTTCTGCCTATGTACAAGTCGACCCCCCTATAACACTGTTGATTATTCCGTTTTATATGAATTCCATGTTGTACGAGTCACTTAAATTATACAAATACGTGTGCCGGGCTGTGAACGGCTCACGTATTTGTAAAATCTAAGTGACTCGTACAACATGGAATTCATATAAAACGGAATAATCAACAGTGTTATAGGGGGGGGTTCGACTGTTATCTATTGTACATATATTATATACTATATAATATGTAGTATAAAGTATATATACACATATTAGTAAATACTACTTTAACTATTTGTAAAAAACACAGTATTTAAAATGAAATTTAATCGATAAAGAAAGTAATTGTTTATTATTATTATTTGGGGGGAGGGCATTAAATTAGTAAACGTTAAGGAAATTAAATTATATACATCTATGTAAATATAAATATTATAAATTTTTAATAGAAGAGAGTAGTAATAATTTTCCGACGTCGTATTAATGAGAGTGTTACACGAAAATTCTATAATAAATAAAGAGCATTTGATAATAAATAAAAATTTTTTTTTACACTTATCTCGTTGTAAACGTATAATATATTCGTTTCAAGACTACTATATCTCTAGAAAAGACCGCTTTAACTTACAAAGGGTTCTTTGTACTAACAGAATGATAATTTTTACCAAAGTAATACGCGCTATATTAAAGAATTTCGACTGTTAAATAAAAATACATCCGTTGTGTATCCTATTATTATTATTATTATTTTTTTTTTTCCTACGTCACGCTAATTAAGTAGACGTTATCGATGCAGCGATTATTAATCGTCTCGGTAAACGGGTTGGCCAAGATACTTAAAAAAAAAAAAAAAAAGAAAGGACGAGCGATTCTTCTCGATAACACAATCAAAACATTAATTTAACATTAAAGAAGAGTAATGCTTTTAGAAAATAGGATGTCATTTAAGTTTAGTGGCTGTAAAAATTCTCGAATCGATGTTAATAGCTCTATTGTTTACGTTTTTCGAAATAAAATAGGTAACGTTACAATAGTGGATGAAAAATATTTAGTGTTTCTACGATGAAAAAGAATCGTAGGCGCCTCTGCCAACAATTTGGCATATGGAAAAAAAAGACTAGAGATAGATGGAAGTGACTGCTACTAGAAAATTAACAACCTGTGACTTAGCTTCCTCTCTGTGGAGTATCGTGTTTACCGAATTTTCAAGCTAAAGGAGCAACGTCCAATTTATTCCAATGAGAAATAACATTAAAAGTAGCTGATTTAAACTATAATATAAAAGAATATCGGAAAGAGAGAGATAAAATACATAAATATCATTTATTTTATGTTAAAAAAATGAGCGAATTATATTGAAAAAAGTAAAATTATACGAGGAACGAATAGAGAGAGAGAGAGAGAGAGAGAGAGAGAGGACAAAACTTATTTATTTATCAAAGTTTCGTGTAAATAAAAGTAAAAATAGTCTTGAAAACATTTCGATTGTGGAAGAAATAGAATATAAAACATTTACTATTTATTATATTGACTGGAGATAGGTTATAATCGAATGTTTCTAACGAGATTTAATCCTGATTCTTCCAGGAATGAAGAGTTAGTTTATCTAATTCATATTAAAAAAATTAATTATTAATTATTTAAAAAGTAAAAGAAAAACACGTTAAAGAATAATAATAATAATAATAATTTAGGTTCATTCGACGAGTTTAAATAGTTAAAGGATAATGCCACGAGCTCACACACACTGTGGGTGAGAGTCATCTAGACAACAATCACTCTTAACTGACGCGAACAAACACCCATGCTAAAATGGGATTCGCACTTGGAAGACGTCTTTAAAACGATTTCGTATTGTTTCTGTAAACAATAAAACGAAACATCGCCGTTTCCCTACGATAAACTCAATTTTCCACACTGAAATTAAAATATAATTTTCCAGCATCTTCTTAAATGAAGAAGAAGATTAAACTTGATTTAAGATGAAAAGATTTCATATATACATATAAAACCCAGTGTTAAAAGGGTATAAATTAGTTTTTAAATCTATTTTTTAGTGTATAAATCTGAAAAATTAAACGTTATATAATATGAGAAACGAATAAAAGAATTTTTAAATAATTAATAGGAATAAAACAGTTGATTTTAAAGAATCTTCTTAGAATTTCTCATTATCTTTTTTATCTTTAAAATAGTGATGAAGATTTAGAATTTAAGGATATTCAAATGAGTTATATTAGAATACGTGGAATAAATTGTCTGTCGCGTGTCAGGATTTAAATTTAGAAAAACTCCACTGGAGGGTTTGTTTATTTTCTAAAGTCGAAAATAGTTTAGTCTGCTGGCCATTAAGGAATTACGTCACACTTGCGATTTATCTTTTTAAGCATTTCGTAACAATTTAGATATGCCTTTTTGTATTTAACATCACCCCTCTCGTTACTAAATACGGATTTATTTTTTAAAGGAAGAGAGAGAGAGAGTATCAAAAGAATAATATAATGAATGTTTTTTTCTATTGTTTTACTTGATAAATTTAATATAATATCGAGAAGAAAATAGATTTTAAAGTGTGTTTATTATCAATATATCATACAAAATGTACGCAACGGAAGATAGATCATTTCTCCCAAAATAATCTACGAAACAATAAAAGAATGCGGAAGAGAAGAATGTTTTAGTTTCTGTAAAACAAACGAGAGCGACGTTGTTCTGACGTCAAAGTAGCTGTCACTCTGAAGTGACGAAAGCCAGTTTACTTTTTTTTTTTTTTTTATTTCTTCTGATAAGTAGGCCTAAATCTATCAATAATGAAATTAAACTGTGTGAAAGTGGATACACAATTGTTTTAATATTCTCTATTTGTTTATAAATATACGACAATAGAACGTATCCGAACTTTGAATATTTTTATTTTCATAGCGTTACGTAAAGATAAAACGGAATTTAACGGACAATACTAAAGATATACAAGTCGACCCCCCTATAACATTGTTGATTATTCCGTTTTATATGAATTCCGTGTTGTACGAGTCACTTATATTTTACAAATACGTGAGCCGTACACAGTCCGACACACGTATTTGTATAATCTAAGTGACTCGTACAACATGGAATTCATATAAAACGGAATAATCAACAATGTTATAGGGGGTCGACTTGTAATTAGATATATCGAAAAGTGTTCGTATTATATAAGTGGAATTGTAAAATCTAAATACTATAGGAGCTATACACTGCTTATTGGATCTACTGTATTTATATTACTGTATATTTAAATACTTTACGATAAACAATACTTTCCACATTATTACGAATGTAGCATTCAATTGTATGTTACACTTACAATCCCTGTGTATATTACACTAAGTAATATTAAGAAAAGTTAAAAATATTATATATGAATTAAACAGTTTTGTATGTAATAAAGTTCGAAAATTCAATCAAATATAAGAGAAGAATTTATAAAATTAAGACAATTTTATGACTCTCAATACCAGTAGACCCCCGTATAACACTGTTGATAATTCTGTGTTATATGAATTCCATTTTGTACGAGTCACTTAGATTTTACAAATACGTGTGCCGGGCTGTGAATGGCTCACGTATTTGTAAAATCTAAGTGACTCGTACAACATGGAATTCATATAACACGGAATTATCAAGTGTTATAGGGGGTCTACTGTACATTATACATTACGTAGGCATATAAAATAGTTCCGACGTATGTAAACTTCTATTGCTCTGATTATTTTTATCGATAGAATAAACAAAAATACTATCTTAAAACAGTTATTTAAAATTATTAAAGTATAACTTTTGTTTTATTTAAAAAAGAATAAAAGAAAAACACTTTAAGAACGTTCCTCAAATAATTTACGACTTTACATACGAACTGCTTTGGTACAAACGAAACTTTTACGTAATAAATCCATATGGTCGATCGATCTTTGTTCTTTCCAATCTCTCTGTTTTATAGTCGCACGTCATAATACATTTTTTTCCACCCCCGGCACATACGTCTTCCATCTAATGTGTTCGGTACGTCTCTCATTTAATTTCTTTGATTTAAAGTAGTCACTCGATTAACACCAGTCTTTATATAAATATATTTTAAAGATAACATTAAAAAAATATAGGCCTATATTAATTTATTAAATAAGTATAATATCGTCATTTATTACTTTTAACTCGTCGCATTCTAAACTATACTAGGTCAATGTTCTCTTCGTTATTCGCAGGATGTTTTCTGCCTTTGAGCTTCGTTAGTCGTTCGTTACGCACATAAAACTAAACCTTAAGTTCGTATACATATTTGGCTATGTAACACTCAAGAATATATACGGGTATGCAAACAAATAAATACATAATTACGCGTATACACTTAATAATTACGAATGTAAAGACGTTTTTAGTTACGAATTACGCGTACAGTTTATCATTACATATAATACTTTCTTCTACGCGATTCTTCTTCTATAATACATATATTTATGAGAAAATCGATGAGATTTCGGTGGATTTTTCACATTTTTTTAAAGCATTTCGAACGTAATTTCAATAATTGAATGAAATTCCATTTATTTTATTTACATTCGATATGTATATTTTATTAATTGCGTTGTATACACGAATCTTTGGTTGTGATATTGCGAATGTTCCTTTCCTATTGCAAGAGTTTTAAAAGCCGAACATACCGAGAGACTTTAAGTGTAAACAAGGTAAAGAGTAAGGTAAATCGAAATGAAAACAGGCTGAAGACAAGTAGTATTCGTACATCTTTTTATTGCTGTTCCTTAAAGGACGTTTACATTCCTGAGTCTTGATGCGTCGAATACATATACACAACAAGATAAATAAACTGTCATCAAGGTAGCAATTATTTATTAAACAAAATGTGGCACCGACGTAAAAACTATTTTATATACATTAAAAAAAAAAAAAAAAACTAAACGGAGACGACGTGGGATAAATAATGACACCATAGAAGTTATAAGGCTATGAATAAAAACTACAACTTCGTGGAATGGTTCTTTTTTTCAAAAAAAAAAAAAAACATAGAAGACTATACAGTACTAATGGGACGTTTCTTTTCGTAGTTACGTTTTGCACCGAGATCTTCCCGTCTCGAACGTTCGAAACTACAATAAAGAATTCGAATCGTATACTGAATCGGCGTCGTATAACGTACGAATACGAATGGACGACGCCCTGTTGGCACTTTTCGGAGCATTTCTATATAACCTATTTATAAATATTATATATATATATATATATATATGTGTGTATGTATATATATATTATTATTATTATTATTATTACACAATGGTCGAAGTGTTTGTTTGTTTGTTTGTTTTCTTTTTTACGGATGCGTCGATCGGAACTGTTCAAAAATAAATAAATGCTGACGGGAGAGAAGACAAAACTACAAAAGTCGAACGATGACGGACTCGTACACCATTCTGTTGTTATGTACCTCTGTGCGTTTCTTAAATTCGGAAAGTCGATTAAGTCAATCGGGAATGATACTGTACGGAGACGAACACTCTCCGAGGTTCCAATCTCTGCGGAATGGATAGTGGTCACCGCAAGAGATGACGACAGAAGGGAATTCCCGGAAGCGTTACGACTGCACCGTCCCTTCGTACGTTGCTAGAGGTATGGCGTTCAACTCTCGCAGATTCGTAGGCTCTGTCGGAAACATAACGTGGATATATACACAATGTTCAACGTAATTTCCGTCCGTGCGGGTTAGAGCCGACTTACCTTCGCACGAGCCGTCGCTTTGCGTTCGAAGAAGCACCCCCAACTTGCACGAATCCTGCATCATGTGACACCAGCTGGAGTAGGTGAAGTTATTGGAAGCGCAGACCGGGTCCTTCTTGGGCCAATGGCATCGATCGGGACAGGTGATGCAGCGCGGCAGTTTGGTATCCGGATCGAGAAGGCATCTCTTTCCTCGCCTGCACTTCACCGTCTCGCACGTGGCATCGGCTATGGAGAGAAAGAGAGAGAGAGAAAGGGGCGGTTTACATAAAAAAAAAAGAAGTAGGTTGAGAGAGAGAGAGAGAGAGATAACGTCTGGAACGCGGAATCGAGGGACGTGAATTATGGGCACCTTCGTCAATGGAATCGATGTCCTTTATTCCTCGGTAAGAGGAAGAGTATTTACTTTGAGAATGCCATTGTGGCTTTGGACGGCGTTCGAATTAAACGCGCACCCTCCCCCCCGATAACGCCGAGTCGTAATTTGGGCACGGGCCAATAACTAATTAAGAACGTGGATTTATGAGTGTGTCCCGAATAAGCCTACACGCGGGACACCTCGAAATGGGGGAGGCAATTCGCCAAGTCGTGGATTATTTCTTCACTGACAGATTGATAGGACGGCCCTTTAAACGTTCCAATTAACCGCGTGATAAGTGAATCTACGATTTTGCTCCATTATTTGCCCCCTTTTTAAGGCGAAAAACTACTTGGAAAAGTAGTGCCGTCGGATAAACGATTCTTCCAAATATGGACTGGTAGAAAGCGTCGTAAACAACATCCAAATATGTAGCGTGGAGCGGCGAAACGCGCGAGAGTCGAAATTTCGTTTACAACGCCAGTTAACGTCCACGTGATCGGAATAAAGGTATCACACGGTGTTTATTTGAAAGTGAACGACCTTGAAAGGCGTCGTCGACGAGTCGGATTCGAAACGCGGCAGAAGCGAAGAGTTTTTCGTGGGCGTACGCGCAGATTACAGGTGGAAGGACGTCTATTTTTAGGAGTTAATGGTTAAAAACGCGGTGGAAACTAAGAAATCATTAAGGATCCTTTGATGGTTACTAATGCCACGCCGTTGATATCTGAATAATTACTTCCCGCTAATGGATCGCTCGAGTTCGTATCTGTAATTGGGTGAAAAAAATAACATATTAACGTAAACTTAAAGAGAATTTGATTGAGTGGAAGTCGGGCATCTACTCCGGAGACGAGTTCAACGAAATCTTAATACTGGATGCCAGTCGGGACCTATAATCTATTGTTAAATATGTCGGGTTCCCGAATCGATAATAGTTTCGACTTACCTTGACACTTGCCCTTGTACGATTCTTGTATGGCTCGGCCTCTGACGCAGGCGGCTTGGCGGATGTGGCAATAACTGGGATAAGTGACGTTGTCTGCACCGCATAAATAACGTCCCGCGGTGACCGGAGGACAGTGCTGTTTGCATCGAACGCAATGAGGACGAAGGTTCTGATCCAACAGGCACGATTTCTTGCCGGGGCATCGAACGTTCTCGCATGTTTCTGAAAACGAAAACAAATGGCATTGGTAATTGTTGATCGTCTCGCGAATTTCCTCGCGGTAAGAGGGTATTTAATAAGTTCTTTCCGAGACCGATTTTGATGGATGATTCGGTGGCAGTTTTCGTCCAGCTCCGGGGGAATCCGAGCGCGCGCTTCCACTTCGAGTATGGTATTACTAGAAATGAAACAATGGTCGAATCAACAGGTGCTCGAGTCTCGGGAAGAGTATCAGGTGGAGTCTTTGTCCTCCGGTATCGAGATATATCTATGTTCCCACAGACAGACCAGACAGCTATAGGTGGTGTCCGTCTGGAAACTCAGACATGGGGGGAGGAAATAACACCCAGTGGTATTTAACAAAATACGCCAGTTCCTTGGGAAGGGGCCTTATATTTCTGTCTGGAAGATCCCCTCAAGGACGTCTGGTCCAAATACGACACAAAGAAAATCTGACGTCACGACAAAATAAAGAGCATTGTGACTGGACCTACGTAAGAAGAAATAGGCGTGTATAAGAGTAGGAGCGAAAAAAATGATAAAGAAACACGGGAGCGAGGTTTTTGGCAGTAAACCTCGGTGATTTACGTGTGAAACTATGTTATCTCCAGGTGTGTGTGAACAAACAGTTTTAACGACACCATCGCGGCACGACCATCTATCAATATTGATGGACGATCTACCGATAAGCGCGGGGCTTGACCAATTATTAGGTACGCTCGATTCCGTACCGATCATCTCGGGATATCGTTCGGAACAGCCCCAGGGTATTCCACTTTCGTTAATTACGTGACACGGAGTGGCGGTTATCTTCCACCTTGCCTATAATGAACTCGCAATATCAAACATAATGAATTTTCTGTCTGTACAAGTTTCAAATATCGTTTTATCTTACGAGATAAGACTCCAGAAAAAAAAATTTTATACTCACTTTGGCACCGCCCGAAATAGGCGACGGCCAACTGCTTGTCTTTTCTACACTGTCGTTTCAAAAGGCGACAGACGTGTCGATACGAACGTCCGTCCGTCCCGCACACTTCCCCAATCTCCCATTTTCTCTTGGTACATTTCGGTGCGCACACACATTTTGGCTTCCTATTTTTAATGATACACTTCATGTCTTTGCCACATTCCACTCCCTCGCAAGAATCTGCAACAGAATAAAAAACCCTCCAATTAATGATTTAACAAAATGAAACTTTTTTTTTTCTTTCTGCCCGATAAAAATAAATTCTTTCTTTCTATTTTTACGAGTCGAAACAAGTGTCAGTTCTATTTCTGTTGAAGAAACTGTAACATAAACCAAAATTCTCTTTTGTAGATGTTTCCGAATTTCCACTCCAGTAAATCTCGAGATAAACAACATTTGAGAAAACAAATGGCACCTTCTCCCTTAACGTTCGCACGTACCGTTCCAGAACGTTGAACTTTTTTCGAATTAATAACATTGTATGAGAACAAAAACGGAGTTACACAATATCCCGGTTGTTTACTACGCGCCACTAGAAATGAAATTATAGCCGCTCGAGATAAATAGCGCGTAACGAAAGTTTTGATTACACTCGGAAATCAGTAGTAACTGCCAGGAGGCTCGTTACGGTAGCAACCAGTGGTCAGACGGAACTATCTTTTACGTAAAGTCATTTGAAAGAAGTTGACAAGCGATTGAATAAGCTAATCCCACTCTCGGGCACTCCCTTACTCCATTCCGAACGAGTAACAAAAGAGAAGGGATCGCATGGCTATAGCCAATACGACGGGAAACAAAAAGTTTCCAGGTAACGGGCACGGATTTAACGACAATGGAAAAAGGACAGGTCGGCGGGTGATCTTCTAGCCAATAAAAATTAAAATATATCTTTGGAGAGAAAGAGGGACCCGAGACAATGAGACCGAATGGCACACCTTGGTCACAAAAGAAGGTGTACACTCATTGTTCGCTATAATGAGTTGGTTCCGTCGTTAATGCGAAGGTGTCGAAAACCTTTCGTTTAAGACCAGATGTCGTTTCGATTTTGAAAAGACAAAGTTTAAAATTAGCAAAAAAATTAGCCGGAGAGAGATTTATGATGGTTCGCAGTTTCATTTCTCGACGTATTTTGGGACTCATAAATCACCTTCGTTTTTTACTTTGGCCCAAGGCTATATAACAACTAAAAAACTTGAAAGGGAGTGCCAGAAAAATGATACTCGGACGAACGGTAATCACTCTAAGTGCGTTTTAAGAACTAGAACTGCGTAGGTCTGCGACCAGAAGAAAGACTTATAAGGAAAACTTTTTGCAATTCTTTCTTTTTTTTTTAATCACGAAAATAGCAGACAAATTTTTATAAAAATCGCCCGAAATTCATTAAAGGTGACAAGTTAATCGTAGGGAAAAAAATCCGGTAGTGATGCCGGAATATTTTAAGACAAAGAAGAGAGCGAAAATTCAAATTCCGTAACATCATCTTATCAAAATCCTATAATTTTCGTAAATTATACTTAATTTCTATCGAAATGAATCGGGACAGGATAGTGTAAGATCTCTCTTCTCATCCAAAAAAGTACTCCTGTTCAGCAACTTATTCTTTGTTCTACGGTTAAACTATGGAAACTGGAAATTAAAAGAGAATTTCATATGTATTTGCGATGCAATCGAAATTATCTAAACAACAATTGTGAATACACAGTGTTTTTACTCGTAAGTAAGTACAAATCGCACGATTAAATATAAGTAATTGAGAGATGGCTTCACTGCAAACATTCCCTCACACGGGTTTACTTCCATCTTTTCTGTATTAACCGGAATTTAGTTGTTATCAACTTGTCTTCTTCGGAAGATTCACAGATTAAATCTAAATTAGAAAAAGAAAAAAAAAAATATATGGGAATCTGAAAGCGCATTGACATACCTTTACAGGGTTGGCATCTGACCCCTCCGCCGAACATCCTCCAAAAAAATAAGTCGCCGGAACGTAGATCTTCTTCACTCCACGCCGTCGTCGCACTCCCGTCGGAACAGCAATCTTCTTTCAAAACGTGCGTTTTTAAAATTTCGGTGCAACGTCCATTTTTATCTACAAAACTCCAACAATGGCCCCCTGAAAAAAAAAGACCAATCGATCGAATTATATATTTGCATTTCGCATACACAAACTTAACATTCGCGAGCACGAGGAAGGAGGGGTGGTGGGGAAAAAAAATACACCTACCATTTCGAGCATACTTAAGAAATTAAAATTTCAAATATTTTAATAATCGGATATTCTAAATATAGTTATAAACGAGTTAATACAAATAAAACGCGAATATTTAAATAAACGTATTGTATTTAAGGTTACTATTATTAGTAAAGTACGAGTTCGATACGAAATTTTATAAATAGAATACAGGGAAGACTTGGCATAACTCGAAACGGTCCTAGGTATTTAGCTGATTTCAAGGACTAGTATTTTCGGCAGTATTCCGACAACGACGCCATCGTCCAACTGTCGGCATTCTGTCTGTTCATCACCACGCATAGTAAAGCACTCGCTCGCCGTTCCTACCTTGACAATGACCTTGACGTCATCGAAATCACCTTCCGTTTATAGTGTCGACGAGAGCCTCTTCTGTTAAACAATTTCTAGAATTACCTTGCTAGGAAGAACGACGTCGGTGTCTTTATAAAGTCAAAATATTCCCACCCCATACGAGAGCTTATAGAAACTCGTATTTTATTATTTACAATTCATCTTAAGCATTAGTGCCACGCAGAACCCCCGAAATGACTCCGATGTTGACATCATTTTTTTTTGGCCCCGGGAGATTTAAAATAATATCCGAGGGTGGAGTTTATAGAAGGGAAATTTTATTGTTTAGACGGTCGATTCGAAATTTTATGATGTTGAAGGGTGATTTATCATCTTAATTTAAGTCTAACGATCTACGACTTTTAAAGTTCGAATCAAAAGTAATTTTGATGAAACTTGAGAGAGATTTTTTTTTTGACCATCGTTCTTCGAGGAATCGTGCTAAAACCAATGAAGGCGGATGAGAATATTTGGATAATTGCTATCGATTTGTTGATAGATTTCTAGTGTAATAATTATGACGCGTACATATTTTGCATTCCGTTGCCGGGCCATCGCCATTAGAATGCCACGCGGGATGCCATTGCTCACAGAAATATAGATAAACCCCACACGGTGATTTATACGGCGCTCGAGAAATCAACTCGGACTTAACCAACTGACTATAAATTGGCTGATTTGCTATTTCCTCGTGTTAAATGATAAGAGAAGATCACCGACCTCGTTAATACTTACCCTTAACATAAGAATTCGTCTAATTTACAGAAAAACGCACCCGAGGAATCTCGTTTCGCACGTAATTACTTTTATATCGTATTCATAAATTATAATAAATGTGAACGACGGTTTATTTCACCTAGTCTGGTAACACGCGTAAGCCCACAAAATCACTCGACTTCTTTATTATGGACCGAGGATCGTGCAATACGTCTTAAAAGTCTCGGAGGATCGACTCGACCTACATTTTCACGCAGTTGAGAACGTAAAAACTGCGGGAGACGAGACTAACTACGAAGCGAAGAGGTATTTATGAAAAGGTAGCAGACGGCTTGGCGTCCTGCCAACGTCACACCGAGAAAACAACCGAGACGGGGTGACAACTTGTCTTTCCTATGGTTTGACGCTCTGGCAATGCACGAATCGGACGAGGACCACTCTTCCAGACGGAATTAACAATCTTATTTCGGTATGGTTCGACTCGGTTTTCCGTTTACGGACGAAACGAGGGACACTCCACGCGTCACTCTTGTTTTCCCAGTATAGAACCGAGAACGTGAGATGTTGGAATATGACCAAAATTCTAACTGCCGGCGCGTAAAACCTGCGTAATGACAGCCAGACTGTCATCGGCTGTATGACCATTAATCGTTACTCCAACAATGAAGTACGTTAAGTAAGAAGAATCACTTCGACAAACGATGGGCTGCCATTATGGAATTTTGTTTACTTCCGCCACCAATTTCGATTTATAAATTGTCGATTCTTTCGATACCGAAAACAATCGACACTTTTGTTTTGTTTACCTAATATTCCCTTTCACTGTTAACGTCCTCGTGTTTACTCTATCGAGCTACCAATCTATAAACAAACTAAATTTAGTCCTACTACAAACAACTTTCGTTAGGTTCGTTTCTTACGAAAACTCGCCACCCTTTTGCAATAAACTTGGCAACCGAAATTTAAGCAATTTATTATCGTCATTGTTATACGTGCAATGCACAAGGCTAAAAAAAAATTCACCCTTTCAATTAAAATATTACAAATTACCACGTATTTTCCTAATTAACACAATTAATTTATCAAGTATTAACTTTCACACAAATCTCCCTTGGACTATTTGTAATTATAATTAATTTGATTTATTCCACAGATTTGTACGTACCATATCAATCCTCAATAGCAATAATAAATAAATAAAATTTGAATTTACTACTACTACTACTACTACTACTACTATTTAATTTTACGTATGACAAAATCTTATCTATACAACACTATATCATATAATTATATACATATATCAAAGAGGAAGAGAATCAAAGTTGATAACAGTTTAACTCTCTTCCTTTTCGATATAACTGTTACTAAGATCGTCAGATTATATATACATAAACTATATATAACCGAGTAAGATGTCACTCGGTCATCTGTTATAAACACTATGGCACTTCCGGAAGCGAACAACTCCTATTACATAATACCTACAACATTTTCTCCGCAAGAGAAACGTTTAAACACTGTCAAAATATTGACTTTACCTGCATAAATAACGAAATTATAATCCAAACAAAACCGAAATGGCATCTTTAAAAATTAAAACGAATATTTTTATTCGCCTTACACGTTTAATTTGATATATAACCGATTGTCAAATTGTAATTCTTTCCGACACTTTATTTGTATTTAGATAACCTACTGAACATATTCGATATAAACTGAATGCAGAAACAAACACGTCTAACGGAGAATAACTCGCTCATATGATTTTTATATTCAAAATTATTGATTTGTATCAATAGATACAAAATAGATCAATCAATAGATACATATATCAATTAGATATTTAGATCAAACTTCAAAAGCAATTCACCTGAACAGTGCTTAGAAAGTAATAAGACTTTCAAAGTTATAATAAAATCTCTCTGTTTTTGATAAGAAATATAAGCATATGTTAATAGTATTATCGTCTCCATATTAAGTTCTCCATCCAGATAAATACCGAATAGAAAAATGACTAATTTTAGCCCGAATTCCTGTATATTTAAGTATTAAAAAAGGAATTCTACATCTAAAGTATTTTATAAAATCGGAAAAAGTCCAAGAACAAAGCAGTCGTAAATCTATGTTTACAAGCAGGTGTGTCTACAGTTTAACAATATAACGATTTATTTATACACCTTTGTTATTTTAAGCTTTTTACAGATGACTTATTTAAAAAAAAAATAAAAACGACACCATCCGATGGTAAAATTTTAACGAAACGATTATTAATTAAACAGAAACGTGGAAGTAATTTCCTGGTAGGATTTTGACCGAATCTTAATGATACGTAAGGAAAAGTATAAAACCTCATTCGTTAACGACATTAACCGCTGGAAATTGCGAATAAATAAATAAATGAGAGAGAGAGTTTCTCCGCGTAGCGATGTGACGCCAATCGCTGTTTATCAAAGAAAAACACGTTCTTCCGGGAAGGGATTAAGCGGGTGCCAACCAAGGCGTTGTTGTGGATACGACATTCCCGAGCGTGAATGATGGAATAACACAAACAGAGGCCAGTGACCCGTTTGTTCCACGCAATCGGCTGGCAAGCAGCCAATGACAGAAGACCAATAGGGATCGCTTTACTCGGTCGCGGGCAACAATATATCTCCGACTGACCCACTGCGAGCGATAGGGGCACGAGTACATATTATATCGAACAGTTCTGTAATCGACAAACCTCGACTTCCTTCCACAGAATTTACCATCTGTGAACGATCCCTTCTACTTCCAGATGGTCGAGGGGTGTTACGTTACCGAAAACCGTGCAGAAACCTATTGTTTTGCTTTCTCTACTTCCTATTTCTTCATCATTAGAAACGCTTTAGTGAGGCTACACCTTTAAAAACACAATCTACTTTCGAGGTACGAGCTCTAGAGTTCATTGCTACCAAATTCGTGTCGTTACATAATTCTTCCTCCTCGCTTCAATCTTCACATTTCCTAATGAAAACATCTGCTAACGAAACAATGGACTTTTTTCATCGAAACTTTATATCTTCGACCGCCGAGGAAACTCTGTTCTAAAGATCTGTCCACGAATTTGTGTTGCAAAACGCTCTTAAAATACCATTCTACTTCGGATACAAAATGTGAAGATTGCAGAATTCACAAAGCTTTTTTTCACGTTGCTCTTTTTAAAATACTGATTTTTATAATATAAGTTTTAATCTCAATACGAATTTTCGGACTGTGGTTGAAGTATTTCAACATTCGAGACGTTCGTTGTAAATTCTGAAATTCGACAGTTTTATAAAATAAAATCATTTAAATGCTCTTGATATCTTAAGAGTACATTGGTTTAGATCCGCGCTTCCCAACGGAGTGTATTGTCTCCCCTTAGGAGTCGATAAAACATAGCAAATATATAAAATATTTCATGTATTTTTTCGCTCTCAAAAAAAAAATTCAGAAAGATGCCTTTTAAAAATTACTTGTATGTACACATGTATTAATTAAATTATACCCATAATATTGAAGGGAATCTATGAAAAATTTTTCCATAAAGGGGGTCGATATATGAAAAGGGAACCTCTGGTTTACATTAATATTCGCATTGTTACTACTAAAAACAAACTATGCATGAAATCTTACAATGCACTCTTACAAAACTGTGAGTGAAATTATTTAATTTTGATTATCAACGCTTAAAATGTTGTTATAGAGATTACATCACTGAAATTCTCACCGAATAAAACACAATGCAAAGATTTATGCCTTTTGCAAGACTTCTAATTTACTTTGATCTCCAAGAAACCTCGATTACTCCCACGAGCTCGAATTTCAAGTTAACAAAATAACAGATGCGAGCATTTTATTTTCCTCACACCTGCTCGGTGAGGGAGGATTTTTTTTTCTTTTGAAAAAAAAATATATATATATATATATATAAAACACTTTTTCTCGCTGCAAATAGGCGTACTTTGAAAAATGACTCGGCACGGAAAAATTTACAAAGGACGGGATGAAATAATATTGACAACAGCGACAAAACTATTATGGAGAATGGCCCTCGTAGGAAAAGAAGGCCCCGTATTTGAAGAATATAATAGATTCGAGAAAAATAAAGAAGAAAAGCGTGTTATTTTTTAAACTTATACCTTGGAATCACTTTTACAGAAGACAGTCGTTACGGGAGGTTATACCGAAGGAAAAAAAAAAGGGACTTTGATCCACCGAGTTTGTGTAATGTTTGTATGTCGTAGCGGAGCCAAAGTTTAATAGTTATCGTGAGAATGTTATGGCACACTATAGAAAAAGAAATCTAGTGATGGCAACCGAAAATACCTTTAAGTTTGAACCAGTCAGAATTTTGAACCGGTTATTAAACATTTGGAGAATATAGTAACAGCCAAGCAAATGCAAACTGTTTACTTAGCAAAGTCTAAACTGGATTTCGGTTTATAACAAACAAAAATCCTCTCGAATTTAATTGAAAAGGGAGGTGGAAAACCGGTGTAAAAACATCTATAAAAATCGCTCGTAATCAAAACAACAACAAACCGTTCCATAAATACTAAAATAAACGACCGACGATTACATTCTAACGTCAGATATTTAAATCTAGATCACATGTTAAATTTCGAGACGATTTATAATATCTTTTGAACGGGTTCCAAATCATTTTGCTGGCGACGGCATAAACAGACGACCTACACCTCGGTACCAAATCATACATCAATAGTCTGGGAGAGATGAGAATAGGAACGGTGCCAAATCACTGCAGGGTTCTATCGAAGTGCAGGTGCATAATGAATTGGATATAATGCGTAAGTACTAAAAAAAAAAATATATATATATAAAAGAAAAAGCCGACCTTCTGTAAACACGTTTATTTTTTTTTCATACTAGAAGCTCGATCGCTAAACAAAACACTGTGTAATTTTTTTTTATCCCGAAGAGACTTGTGCTTTTCGTCCAGACGAAACGCTTAAGATAATTTCTGAGAGATAAACAAATTATTTATAACGGAACGACACGTCTGAGTTACGACGAGTGGAAAGGGGTAGTTGAACAGTCGTTAACAGCAGTAACAAGGACGAAGATAACAACGAGAGTTGAGTCAGCCGATGGCGAAGATAATAAGACAAGACAACTTCAAAAAATCATTCTGCACATGCGATAGTATATTATAGTATACGGGCGTAACAAAAGTGTATCGGTAACACAAATACTCGTGTCTCCAACCGGTAACGATATTCACCTATCTACGGAAACATCGCTTTGGAATTTATAAAAAACCGGATACACCCATTCGAATTTATAAAAGCATACCGTACACCGATTACCGTGTCAACTTATAAATTCGATACGTAAATAACGTATCTTTTCATCGTTACGCATACGCCATTAACAGCAACGTAACTTAACGTGTAAAATATATATTTTTCAAGATCTGTAAAGTTCGAAATTGCCACAATTCGAATATTTATAAAACTTTATGGTGAAGCAGCAAGAACAGACCCAAATTTTAGCGATTTTTATCAATTAAAAAAAAATATATCCAATTAATTTACTTATCCATGGTCACTTTTTAATTGTAATTAAAACAACGAAAAAGACTTCGCAAAGTTATGAAAATGAAAGTGTATTTATTATATAAAATCCGAGCGGATATAACACAGATTTCTTCTAGACTAATTCCAACAAATATGAAAAATAGAAAACCCAACGAAACCCTCCAGACGAGTTAGAATTAAACGCACAATTTGTCATTTCTTAACACAGGAATGAGTATAAGATAAATGCAAACACGCGAGTAAACATTCGGACATCGCACCGCACATTTATCATTTGTAGAAATATCTCATTTATTTTATAAATATTCGAGGCCGATCGAGCGTGTCGTAAATACACACACGACGTTCTCTTTCTACACGAAAACAATTCGCCACGAACGGAGACGAAAAAGAGTAATTAATCGCTTCTTAAGAAGGTCATCCGATCCTCCAAACTTCTCTCTTTCTCGCTTTCTTTCTTTTATATATATCGCTCCGACGTAACAAATGAACTTTTCTTCGTACCGCAAGATAAACATTCCTTTACATTTATATATATAAAGAAACACTTGTATATACATACGCACACCAGCTTATATTCTTCTACCGCGTTAAACGTTGGCGTGGGAAGAAGAAGAAGAAGAAGAAGATCGCTACGTCGCGGCGAAATTTCCAAAGCGAGATTATTTCTCGCGTCCATACGTTAGCAACGGGTTAAGAACGGGTCGAACTTACCTTCGCAACAAGCGGTCATGCTGAGAAAGGTGCAGAGGAGCGCGATCCCGATCGAGCGACTCGAGAGAGGACGCATCGTGACTTGGCGCTAGACCGACCGTCAGGTAATCCCCATCCGCTCGTAGGTGCCGTAGTAAACGGGGGGACTCGTCGACACGTGACGGCGGTCGAGAGGCGTGCCGTCCACCGACCCGCCCTTTCATTCACGCGCCGCGTCCGTCCATTCACGACCGAGCGTCGAGTCGGTCCGGTCCGACCTCGCCATTGGTCGATCGGGGCGACGCGGCGAATAACGGGACGGAGCTTGGCGTCGCTCTTCCCCGACTGCGTCCCGATCGTCGCGCCACGCGGCGGACGGACGAAGCGGCATCGCGAAATCCGCAATTAGATCCGGTCCGGCGATGACCGCCATTTGAGGCAAAAAAAATACGCTAGTAGAAATTCCCTAAATTTTCCCCGTCCGTGAATTAAATTAACAAAAAAAAAAAATTTTTTTTTCTTTTAAATCGCGGAAAAATCGTTGAAATTTACGTTCGAAAATTCAATTATTTATATATTTTTTTTTTTCAGGTAATTTTTGTCTGGTACGTAACACCAAACTACGCGAGATTTCTAAATATAGAAATAAAAAAAAATAAATAAAAATAAAAAAAATAAAACACTATCGACGTTCTATTTTACGTACAGATGGCTTGTTTACGTCTACGAAATATAAACGTCTCGAAGATTTTTTATTAAAACAATAGAAAACGTTATAAATAAACTCCATACGTATACACACGCTCAAGCATAGTTCGCTCTAAATAAATTACTGTAATTATTTTCCCAGTCTTTCTTCTTCTTCGACGACGACGACGAAGACGACGACTTTGTTACCAAATTACGTATTAATTAATTAACTTTATGTGCCTTAGTTAAAATTAATTAAATGCCAACTCGTTAAAATTATAAATATAACTCTTTAAAACGTGGGCCAAGTGACATACGTAACGTTATAAAAATACATATTATATATATATAACTATAGTAAATATTAAAATAATAAGAGAAAATACCTGATAAAAAACAGCATTCAGTTGTTATCCGTCTGAAACAGTTGCCGATAGCGGTTTTGGATCTTGGTCCACTTTTCTTTGTTTCTCGAATCGTTAGTCGTTGGAATGTTAGTAGGTGATGCGCCTAATCCTGTTTTGTCTGTCTGGGCCGCCAGACTTATCTGAAATAGATATTATATAACTTTTCCTCTACTAAAATCTATAATAAAAGTTATTTAAGTAAACAGTTAGTTGCTGTAGTTAAAAATCTCCCCCTCCGGTATAACGAACTCGTCCGGACGAAAAGTCAGACGTGTAAATTTTAACACAGACTACAGGCGTTACACTTGTGTGACATTCAAATGCAAATGTAAAAATTATTATTTGGGATAATTAGTTACATTGTAAGTGATGGTTTCTACAATGTAACTTAATGAGAACGAAAGAAGGAGGAGGAGGAGGAGGAGGAAAAGAAAAGAAGAAAAAAAAAAGTCAAAAACGTAAAGTATTTTAACGAAGAACCCGTTCTGTAAATATAAAATTCGGATAATTAATTAATTCGGTTCCGAACAAGGGCGTGTTGTTAAGTAAAAAGTAAATTAAAGGAATGTAAATTAAGAAGAAAAAAAAACATTTTTATATACACGTAAAATCTTAATTTAAATATTTTACGAATTAATGAATCGGGATGAAAACTGGGTTATATATAATAATAATATAAATTCTCCTTTTTTTTCGGACAATATAATACGTAATTTTAATACAACCTGAATAACAAAGAGAAAGTAACATTTCCTCCCCCTCAAAATTTCTCTACACCGCAACGAAAATATATTATTGTAAAAAAAAAAGATGGGAGCTAAACTCCAAAATTTTAATTAGGAAAATATATAGTCTAGTCCAATTAGCGGTCGCCTGGAATTTAAACGAAGAAGGAAGTGTATAAAGCTAATGCGTAAACACCGACAGACCTAGTTCTGTTCCGTCTGCACAACAAGCGCACTGCCTTCGTCAGCGATTATAAAAATGTTTGCACAATATACGCGCAAGTCGGAAGAGATCAGAGAGACCACCGCGCGAAGATGCTATTTCGGGAGGACCACGTGTAAACCCGCGGAGAAAATAAAATAAAATGGCGACGAAACCGAGCGCGTGGAATGTCGGAAGGTAGGCAAAACAAATCAACAGACGTGGAAGACGTTTTCTAACACGGTTTTTGCAACCGGTCGACTCTTTTAGCGATGACGATGGCCTTGAAGGCTAGAGGGTATAGACGAGTCTGGCGAACTCGAATGACACCGACGTCAAGTGTACAGGCATATCCTATAAAGTATATATAATACCCGTACGGAAGTCGAAAGGATTATTTACATAACATTTTTTTTTTTTTTAACTTTCTACGTATTTCGGCATTTTAATAACCATTTCTAAAATAGTTATATAGACACCTGCCGAGTTATCTTTATTAAGACGTCTTCTCCTTTCTCATCCTTCAATATTGGGTTACAGTTTGCATAGCTGAGAATATGGATAGAGAACTCTTACAAAAACTAGTTTCTGTATTTAGACGGAAAATCTTTGTTCGACTGGCAGACGAGATTGGGTCTAATGCTAACGAAAGCGTGGCGTGATGGATCATCGCAACACGTGCCAAGTTAGGCAGAGACGATGCTGATACGTCGACTTAAACCTGGACGTCACCAAAAAACGAGCATTCTTCTTCTCTCGCCGGTGATGCGAACGTACTTTACTTAAAACGCATCGTGTATATTCACTTTTTCTTTAAAAAAAAAGCAGATAAAGACCCCTTAATCACGCTCGTTTTATTCTTTCGTCATCGTTTTTATTTAATTTTTTAAATTAAGACTATAAATCTTAACGAAACTTTTAATTTTTTAAACGAAGTCTCGCACGCGATTATCATCATCATCATCATCATCATCATCATCATGAGACAGAGCATGTCTACGTTGCAGACAACTAGGAACTGACTTAATAGATACACGTGCTCCCGTTTCAAGGTCGCCAACACCTCGACTAGACAACGAAAGTATTCTAATATATACCATAAACGTAAGCGTTAAAATTAAATACTCTGTTTTAAAAAAAACGATAAGAAATTCTAACCCGGTAAATTAAACTTTAAAACTTTCGCCGGTTACAATAATAAAACACGTTAGATAAATGTTATCTAACTTTGAATTTCTTAGAAGCGTAATAGGATCTGTATTTGAATGAGTAAGATTTAATGTCTAGCATTGCTCTTTCAAGTGTGCAACAGTCATTGAACGCCATTGTATGGAACACGTGTAAAAAAACACATGCCCTATAATAAATGATCTACGTCTATTTAGGCGATGTAAACGTTGTTAAATACTAATCATATTCATTTATAAATGTAAGTAACGACTGAATTTAATTTTGAAAACGATAGATAATTTCATACAGTAGAAGAAAATTAATTGTTAAAACTTCTTCTATTAACATAAATTGATAAGTTTATTTATCAAATTTACATTCAAAATAATTCTGAAATGTTTGCTACAGTCTAAAAGTAACATTTTATACAATCATATAGTCTAAATGTAGCCTAGAATTGAGTTTTCCTCCCTATACGAACGTTATAACGAGGAGTTACTGTATTATTTTTCTTACGTTCGATTGTTTCAGAATGGGAAGAATCGAACAGAATAATCATTCCATTTTTTCTATAATTTTCTTTGAATTTTTATCGCCAATTTAATGGATATAATTAGAAAAGTTTCATTTGAAAGAATAGATTTCGAGTTAAAATGGATACAAGAATTTAAACAATTAATTATGTACAATTCGAAGTTAAACAATTATAGAAGTGTAGTCCGGAAATTTACATTTACTAAAACAACAGAGAATTGGAGTGTCGACGATCCTCGGGCTCCAATGACAACAGAAGGGTATATTTACATTTAAACTAAAAGCAAAACAAGAACTGATTCACGATTGTTGATACACTCGCGTGAATCGTAAGTACAGTTTAAGTTTCGTCTCTGCCAAAATTCCATTCTTAAAAAACCTTAACTATCCTCTATATATATATATATAACGAGATTTTGTAACATTTTCTGAAAAATTTCTTTTATCTTTAATCGTAAAGAATGTAAAATTTCTAACTAAAGCACAGCCATTCGAATCCTAAATATTAACGTATTGCACCTTCAAATCTCTTAATAAACCAGAAAATATACAATTATTTGTATTCTTACTCAATAAGAAAGGAGAAAAATGAAGATTCAGAATGAAGTGAATGAGTGTCAAAGTTCACTCGACACGTGTCGCGGCCGTTCACGCGATCTCGTGTGTTTACAACAGAAAGGTGTCGTCTTCCGCACGGAAACGTCCAAATTTCGTTTTCGATACGATTATTCAACAGCCCAGATGTTAAAGAATGATAAAAGAGACGTTACGAAATAGCAAACAAAAGGAGATTTGTTCACGATTTCAAAATAACAACAACAAATAATAATAATTAGAATTTTTCTCGACATGTTATCAATCTTAATCCTGCTTCAAATTACAAATATCCACACACACGATATGCAAAAAATAATAAATAAATAAATAAATAAACGTTTATTTGGGCATTAACTAAATTATATAACTTACAAATCAAGTTTTACTTGAATTCTGATAGTATATAAACGGGCGATTCAAATTGTAATTATTATTTTATGTTCATGTGTTTGTACAGTTTATATTAAATAAATTACCCGTTTTCATAACTTAATTCTTTAAATATAGGCCTATAATTTATAGAGATTTTATTAATTTAATTTAATTTTTTTTTTGTATAAAGTTCTGTATTAACGCCTGAAAGATACAATATTATAATCTACTTGTGAAGAAGAAAAAATCCCCCAAACTTAATTAAATAAAAATTTATTGAATGTAATTATTTGTCTCTAAGCTTTGCTCCCCTCCTGGAAAATTTTCTATGGAGATATCACCTTATTTTAGTGAAAATATTTAAATTACTTTATATTTGTGTTACATTTTATATAAAATTATTTTATCTGTTACTTTATTAGTGAAGGAACAAACATATTTTTAGACGCACAGTTTGATGACTTCGAAGATAAGTTCTATCGTGTTACGAGATTCTGTACTCGATTTGGTAGCGCACGAATGTAGGAAATTACATTCCTAAAATGTTTAAATAATGAAAATATTTACTATTTCGATATTAAATTTCTTTTTGTTCTTCTCTCTTTAAAATTACGTCTGTGTAATAGTCACAAAAACTGAATTCGAAGTCGATTAAGTTAGTTCGATGACAACTAATCGTGAATTTATA